CGGTTAGATAATGTGTCTGGCCAGGGAAACTGCAAGAACAGCAGCAAAGGAGAGAACCAGGCTGAGAAGCTGTAGGAGCAGCAGTAGGAGATGGGGATAAAGGTTACTGAAGGTCAAGTACAGCCGGCACATCGCTACTGGCACGAAATTGCTGCTGCATTCCAGGAAATCATTCCCTCTCATCTTCCTGAGCCTGTCACATCCTATTTCACTTACTGGTTCTTCTTCAAGGTGTTCGTCTTATTTGTCTCCTTGGGCTTGCTGTTTATCTCCATTTATTCTCAGCATAATTTGAAGCTCATTGTTTGAATCCTGTGACTGGTGGGCAAGCAGGGGGAGAGCTAACCTGTGTAATGATCTGGAGAATCTATGTGGGAAGGAAAGAGAGCGAGATTAGTAGAAGTGATTACAGCAGGAGCTGTGATGGGAATATCATTTCACCAGAGCGAGTAGTGGGAGACTGGCTGGCCTGCGTCTCGTCATTTTTGCAGAGAAAACTGAAGGAGCTGCACTACTCTGTGAGAGCTGTGTCCGGAAGCTATAAAATTACCTACTGATAAATAAGCTGCAAAGTTGTCTGAAATAAAGTTTAGGAAGCAGAAACTTACCTCATACGATTCCAGCTGTATGGTAATGTTAGATAATTAGCACCAATGGGTAAAAGGCATGAATACTCAAAAGTAAAGCATTAGCATATATTTAGCAGATTACAGTTAAATTTAACATGAGTTACCTGTGTCTGCTGAAACAGTTCTTACTGCAGGAAACTCGGTCCTCCTTTGGAAAATAAAAACTATTATCAGGACTTCACATTTGGCTTGCTGGGGGCTCTATTGAAGAAACTGAAGCTTGCTATTCACAAACAAATAGGAAAAAAAAAATATATATATATATAACCAGCCTGGGCCTACATATTGGCAGCAAGGTGTGGGCAGCAGTGGCTATGGGGTTGGCCTCTGTGAGGAGAGGCCAGGGCTGCGCCTGCCAGACACAGCCAGTTCCAGGAGGCTCCAATGGCCTCATTGCAGGGCAGGGCTGAGCCCCTCAGCCACTTGTAGGGTGCCGTTGGGAAGACGTATTTAAGAAAGGGTAGAAAATATTCATCTTAGGCGAGACAGTCACTGCTATATTACATTTCCTTAGTGTATAACTGGTCTGAAGAAATTGTGAACCATGTGGTGTTTACTGCACTTCAATTAAGATCTGCAAATGAAGTTCTATATCCTGAAATATGTATCCTGGAAAGTTATACATGTATATCCAACCCCCGCTGGACACAGCCAGTTCCAGCCGGCTCCAACAGGCCCACCACAGGGTAGGGCTGTGCCCCCCCAACTATGTGTAAGGTGCCTCTGGGAAGGTGTGTTTAAGAAAAAGTAGAAAATACTGTGTGGAAAGAAGAGGAGAAACAGAAGGAGTGAGAAACAAAAGAAACACTGAGGTCGGAGGAGTAAGAGGAGATGCTCCTTGATGGCAGAGCAGATACCCACATTGCAGCCTGGGCAAGGCCCCATGCTGGAGCTGATGGCTACCCCTGAAGGACAGAAGCCCAAGGAGAGACCACTCTGGAGTGGAAGAAAGGTGTGAGGAGGCAGGGGAACAGTGAGGAGCTGTAACAGACTGAGCACAACCCCACATCCCTACTGCACCGCTCGGGGTGGGCATAGAGGTGTGGAGTGGAGTGAAACTGAGCCCAGGAGAAGGGTGAAGAAAGGCATTTTAATGTCTGTCCTTCTGTTTCCCACTACCCAAATTAGTAATTAAATATTTATTTTTTTTGTCAATAAACTAATTTTCTCCAAGTTGAGTCTGCTAATCAATTATTATTGTGGGCAAAACAATCTCCTTGTCTTCACCACCACCCACACACTGCCCTTCCTATTCCTCCCTGCATCCTGCCGAAGGGGAGTGACCAAATGGCTGGGTGGGAGCGTGGCTGCTGGCCAGGGCTAACCCACCAACCACATCCTCTCCAGGGAGATCCAGGGACATGGCCACCTCTTTCAGGCACTTTGTGAGTTTTGTATTTTTTTTTTCTGTCCAGAATTCTGCTTTTTAACTTTTTCTCTCACTCTCCACACTGTCCTACTATTAAACAATCTGTTGCATAAGAAACATGGATAAGCCCCAAAGCAGGGACCAGAAGCCAAGGCTATCTTATTTAAGTAGCATAGCATCCTGTTCTCTCTCTGGCCCAAGAAAGCCATACTTTATAGAAACGTCAGCTTAAAGAGGTGGAAAGGATAGCACATGCACCTGAAAGCAGCTAAAATTCAGCTTAAGTCCTGTCTTAGGAAGCAAAAGCTGTGGGTCTGAGCCTATTAAAGCAAACCCCACAAAAACCTACCTTTAGGCTTAATTTCTAGGATATATTTATAGGCAGAAGCAAGTCACTGCCTTTCATACCCACCCATCTATCTGCATTTCAGTATGTGCTGTGTGTATTTATGAAGCATTCATCTGAGTCCACAATAGGTGGACTCAGATGAAATGAAATCTCACTTTACTGAGATTTCATTAGCAATCTTTCTAGCATGAGAGCTCTGTTTTTACATCCCTGTGCAAGCATTTTTATTTCCTCTTTTTTTTTTTTTTTCCTTTGGGAAGTTTAAGAAGTAATCCCTCTACTTGTTCAAGGAAAACAAACAAACAAACAAAAAAAACCCTCAAATCACACTTTTTTGTCCACTCAGTCCTAGAAGTAATACTGCATGTTTATTATTTAATGCATATTGCAATGCCTGAGTAAAAAACGCTTGCATCTTCTGAGAATAAAAATGAGGAGGGATAAGAGGAATAGAAAATACTACCAGGAAAAAACAGAAAACTAAGTGTAAAGGGAGGTAAGCTACAGCTAAAACTGCAGCTGTAACATTACTCGTGGATAGAATCTTTGTATAAATTATGACTTATAATTCCTGCAACTAAACTTTAAAATAAATTGTTAAAATGGAGTAAGTGGTCAAGGAGAAAGATGTTGACATCTGAGAATATAACTACTGTTATCTTGGAATTCTCTTTTCCTTCAGGAAGTATTACAATTTCTGTCTTAGACAGAGGCAGGGTTGTTTCGTATGCTGACCAATGCTGCTCATGTTGTTACAAAAATATTTTTGGATATTTTAAAAAGTTATATAAATAAAAGCATTTTTGAAGAACAAACCTTGTTTCTTTTTACATATCCAGACTCACAATGAGCAGTACTCTTATTCAGACTGCAGAAACGGAGACTAAATTTAATAAGAGAGAAGGTCAATGTTTCTTTGTGACCTGGTTAGGATACACCACCGGGAGTTAGAAAATTAAAGAGGTCATGTATCTGACACTTAGGAGTATGTCTGCACCTGCTTAAAATGTATATACCGGTCATAGTGGAATCTTGCAGAAATAATCTAATCAGGATCAGAGGCAACAAGGGAATTTCTGGATAAGTAAAGACAGAAACACTGTCTCAGAATTCCCTTCTTTCCAAATTGCTAGGGAGTCATAGGAACAGAGCTGAAGCTCCTATACACACATTTTCATCCAGATTTAGTTATTTATATAAAATAGATCCGTTAAGAAAGACTGGCAGGAAGACCCATTCCAGAAGAACTAACAGACTGAATGAAGATTAACACACTAACATGAGACATGGAAGAGCCCCTAGCCTTGACCTGATAGAATAGTTTGTGGTTGTTTTTTTTTTTTTTTTTTTTTTTTTTTTTTTTTTAACCTCTTCATGTTTCATGTTTTTAAGGTTTTGGGACATCTGAAGGCTGAATAGGAAATGAATTTGTCATCTAGCTCTCCACACTACTGGGAAGAATCTGTGAGAATAGAAATTGTAGAAACACCACTAACAAAGGTGCCTTGGAGGGAAAGAAAGGACTGCAGACAGGGATTATGGTAGGAGACAAAGAACATGATTTTTGCATTCATCTTACAATTTTCAGCCCCCTAAAAACAGGGGACAACAAATGAAACAGCATAAAGAATAACAACCTAGTTGTTGCAGGCATATTTTCTGTGCTGTTTAAAACACTATGAATATAGGATTTGATTTGAACACATACTTTCTTTGATTCATTCCAGTTGCACCTGCTCTTGATAGAGAGGAACCACAAGAAAAATATGAGTATTCATTATTACTGGCATGATTATCTATGTAAGCCAAGAAAATTCAATCCTTCAGTACTGAAATATGCCCCTTGCTTTTCCTGATCACTGTGCATTACATTATGTTACAGTCCTAATTACTATGAGTAGAACAACTTTGGATTCTCCAAAGAGCAGAGAGGCTTGCTTGAAGTTTGTGTATATTGATTTTCCAAATGCTAGAGTGATAATACATGTCTTTTGTGTTTATACATAACATTTATCCATTTATTACACCATTTGCCAATGCTATCCTGGGTTGTGTTAGGACAAACATCAGCAGCAGCTTGAGGGAGGTGATCCTTCCTTTCTACTCAGAAAGCGAGGTGGGGGTTTTAGCGAGGTGGGGGGTGGTCTGTTCTCCCACGTGCCTGATGACAGGACGAGGGGGAATAGGCTAAAGTTGCGCCAGGGGAGTTTTAGGTTGGATGTTAGGAAGAACTTCTTTACTGAAAGGGTTGTTAGGCATTGGAACAGGCTGCCCAGGGAAGTGGTGGAGTCACCATCCCTGGAGGTCTTTAAAAGACGTTTAGATGTAGAGCTCAGTGATAGGGTTTAGTGGAGGACTGTTAGTGTTAGGTCAGAGGTTGGACTCGATGATCTTGAGGTCTCTTCCAACCTAGAAATTCTGTGATTCTGTGATACTCAGCATTGGTGAGGTAACACCTGGAGTGCTGCATCCAGATCTGGGCTCTCCAGTATAGGAGAGGCATGGAGCTCCTGGAGAGAGTCCAATGAAGGGCCATAAAGACAATGAAAAGACTGCAGCATCTCCCCCGTGAGGAAATGCTGACAGAGCTGGGACTGTTCAGCCTAGAGAAGAGAAGGCTTCTTATCAAGGTGAAGGGATCTTAGCAATGTCTATAAATACTTGAAGGGAGGGTACAAAGAGGACAGAGCCAGGCTCTTTCAGTGGTTCCCAGTGATAGGACAAAAGGTAATGGGCACAAACTGAAATAGAGGAGCTTCCCTTTGAATGTAAGGAAAGACATTTTTTTACTGCAAAGATGACAGAGCCCTGGAACAGGATGCCCGGGGAGGTTGTAGATTCTCCCCCCTTCAAGGGAAAGGGAGTCGTAGAATGGTTTGGGTTGAAAGGGACCTTAGAGATCACATAGTTCCACCCCTCTGGTGTGGGCAGGGATACCTTTCACTGCATCAGGTTGCTCAAAGATGCATCCAACCTGTTCTAGTGCCTCACCACCCCTCACAGGAAAGAATTTCTTCCTAATGCCTATTCTAAATTTACCCTCTTTAAATTTAAAGCCATTACCCCTTGTCTTGTTACTATACTCCCTGACAGAGTCCCTCTCCAGTCTTCTTGTAGGCCCCCTTTAGGTATTGGAAGGCTGCTATCCAGTCTTTCTGGTGTCTTCTCTACACTAAACAGCCCCAACTCTTCAGCTTCTCAGCTTCTCTTCGTTGGAGAGGCACTCCAGTTCTCTGATCATCCTTGTAGCCCTAAGTCACCTGATCTATATAGTCCTGCTTGATCAGGGGGCTTAAACCACATGACCTCCAGAGGTCCCTTCCAACCTAAACCAACCATTCGGTAATTATCCTTTCAGTACTAAATTCATTGCTGTGAGGGTGGTGAGGCACTGGAAGAGATTGCCCAGGGCAGCTGTGGACGCTGATGGAGTCAAATCCAGTTGGAGGCCGGTCACTAGTGGTGTTCCCCAGGGCTCGGTACTGGGGCTGGTCCTCTTTAATATCTTCATTGATGATCTGGATGAGGGCATTGAGTGCACCCTCAGTAAGTTCACAGATGACACCAAGTTAGGTGCACGTGTCGATCTGCTCGAGGGTAGGAAGGCTCTGCAGGAGGATCTGGATAGACTGGGCCAATGGGCTGAGGTCAACTGTATGAAGTTCAACAAGGCCAAGTGCCGGGTCCTGCACCTGGGGTGCAATAACCCCAAGCAGAGCTACAGGCTGGGAGATGAGTGGTTGGAGAGCTGCCAGGCAGAGAAGGACCTGGGAGTGATGGTTGATAGTCGGCTGAATATGAGCCAGCAGTGTGCTCAGGTGGCCAAGAAGGCCAACGGCATCCTGGCTTGTATCAGAAACAGTGTGACCAGCAGGGCTATGGGAAGTGATTGTCCCCCTGTGTTTGGCTCTGTTGAGGCTGCACCTCGAGTACTGTGTTCAGTTTTGGGCCCCTTGCTACAAGAAGGACATTGAGGTGCTCGAGAGAGTCCAGAGAAGGGCGACGAAGCTGGTGAGGGGCCTGGAGAACAAGTCCTACGAGGAGCGGCTGAGGGAGCTGAAATTGTTCAGCCTGGAGAAAAGGAGGCTCGGGATGACCTTATTGCTCTCTACAGTTACCTTAAAGGAGGCTGTAGAGAGGTGGGGGTTGGCCTGTTCTCCCACGTGCCTGGTGACAGGACGAGGAGGAATGGGCTTAAGTTGTGCCAGGGGAGTTTTAGGTTGGATGTTAGGAAGAACTTTACCGAAAGGGTTTTGAGGCATTGGAACAGGCTGCCCAGGGAAGTGGTGGAGTCACCATCCCTGGAAGTCTTTAAAAGACGTTTAGATGTAGAGTTTCACGATATGGTTTAGTGGAGGACTTGTTAGTGTTAGGTCAGAGGTTGGACTCGATGATCTTGAGGTCTCTTCCAACCTAGAAATTCTGTGATTCTGTGTGATCTAGTGGGAGGTGTCCCTGCCCATGGAGGAGGGGGGGGGGGGGGGGTTGGAACTAGATGATCTTTAAGGTCTCTTCCAACCCAAACCATTTTATGATCCTATTTTGTTGCTCTTTTTCTTGTATTCATAACGAATAGAGAAGTATTGGAATCTTTTAAATTTGAATTTTTATAGGTTTGATCTTTTCTTTTTTCCAAATATCTGCAGTACCTAGCATGAACTAAATTTGTCTATTTTTGAAATAACACTAAAGAGCAACAATAATCATATACAATTAAAAGTAAAGGCCTTTTGATCGATGGTTGATCAATGATTAGGCAAGGTTTGAGTTTGTGGTATGACACCAACTCAGAACTGGGAATCAAATACATGATTCATAGCAGCAAAATTTAAACAAGCATTGGATAACTTTGCAAAAGAAAAGATTGCTTCTGAATAAATGGTCGTTATGTGAAGACATGCATGAAGCTGTGAGAGAACAGTGAAAAGCTAAAAAGCTAAAACTGGAAAAACTATACCTAGTCTGTTACAGATTTAGACAAACCATTTAAGTTTCATTCCCAACATCTTTTTGGTTATGTTTTGGGTTTGGTTGTGAAAGTTTTGCAGAACCTTAAAAAAAAATACAGTACCCTCCCTCCATTCTACATTTCATAAAAGAACACAGCCCTTACAGATTCAATAAATTATTCATGGAGACGACAATATTATTATTAGACCCTGGGGTCTTGGACTACCCACATGTAAAAGATCTAGCTCTACACAATCAATCCAGCAGGATAACTCTGTTATACTCTACTTAACCCACATTGCCTAACAGGGTTTGAAAATGGATTAGTGGATGAAGAGTTTGTTTTAAAAGACATATTATCTCCCAGAAAAGGAGAGGATAATTCCTACTAGCTCTTTTAAGAAATCAAATGATCCTGAATTGGAGAGAAACTTCTCCTATGTTCTCTTAACCAGCTGGACACTGATGTGTGATGACTAGAGAGACAAGGGAGAAGCTGTGCAAGAAGCTGTGCATCAAAACAGGTACTCAATCAAAAAAATCAACACTAAGCAACTGTTCTAGATTGAAAACAAGGTATCAAAACTGACTTATTCTTGCATATTCTTGTACTGGGTCGGGCTGGGACGTTAACTTTCCCTGCAGCAGCCCATACAGTGCTGTGCTCTGCACTTGTAGCTAGAACAGCAGTGGGATCACACCAGCGTTGTGTCTGCTGCTGAGCAAGTGCTGAGCTGCTGGCACAGCACCAGGATGCTCTGTAACCCTCCTAGGGGGTGGACAAAAAAGTGAGAAAAGAAACATCACCAGGGCAGCTAACCTAAACCAACCAAAGGGATATTCCATACCATATGATGTCACACTCAGCAATAAAAGGTGGAACAAGGAAGAAGAGGGGAGGGATGGGCTCTCATGAAAACGTCGGTCCTTCTCCCGAACACCCGCTATGTGCATTGAGGCCCTGCTTCACGGATGTGGTTAAGCATCACTCATTTGTGGGAAGTAGAGAGTAATTTCTTTCCTCTGCACTTTCACATAGCCTTTATTTATTTATTTATTTATTTATTTCCCCTTTTCCCCCTCCCTTTCACCTTTTTTTTTTTTCTCCCCTTTAGTTAAATTGTTTGGTTAATAATAATCTTTCCTTAATAATTATTTTTTTCCTTTAATTAAATTATCCTTATCTCAGCCCGTGAGTTGTTCTTTGCTTTACTTCTTCCCCTCCACATCTAAGGAGGGGGCGTGAGAGAGCAATTGTGGTGTTTAGCTGCCTAGCATGGTAAAACCACCACAGTTCTCTAATTATCATCTAGGAAGGGGCAAATAAGACTTCTGGAATGGCTAAAACTCTTTACAGCAATTTGCACAATTGATACTGGTAAGCAGAGGATATCCTAACACTCTAAATTAGAGAGAAACCTGAAAGTGTATCTGGAGGCTAAATGTTTCTTTGCTTTCTATTTTTGGTGGCTATGGGATGTCCAAAAAATCCCAGTGGAATTTACTATCTATAATGATGGGGGATCCATTTTTATTCCAGAAATCTGTTCACTATCATAGCACTATGGTAGGGTCATTTTTGATTTTGCACTTGTCAAGATAGCTGTGTCTTTCATACATGCATGCATTTTATTTGTAATATTTTCTTGCAGTAGAGAAAATGACTGGAAATAGCTCCACAGTAGATCAAGGAGAGAAAAGTAAAGGCAAGGGAAGCTTACCTCTACATGGAGACAACATGTAAAGCCCACCAAGCAGATCAGAGATGCTCTCTTCTGGGAGGTCTATGAGGAAACTCTTTAGCATGTCTATACAATGTTGAGTCTATAGATGGCTGGAGTCAAGAGTATTCTACAGGAGATAACTTCCGAGTATTCACTTAAAAAGAGAAAAGGGAAAAAAAAATAAAAAATCAGATTTTAACATGCTTCCTATTGAGAAATAGTCTAGATCTGTACTATGACAGCTTCTCACCAGATGTTACTGTTAAAAGAATAAAAGAGCACTCACTGAACAGGAGTTTTGATTTTGCAGCTGAGTGTGCATCAAAATCTGATGGCAAGACTTACAATATTCCAGACAGAGAACAGAGACATATTCTGAACTTCCTATGCATCTACTCAAAACAACTCATATTTTGAATATCAAACCTTCACAGCAAACTGTTCACAGGCAAGCCTTAGGCTGAAATATTTTCGCATAAAACATTAGTTGAATAAATTTTAACTAACATATTTCTGGATCCAGTAGAGCAATTTACAGGAGCAGTATCTGCCACCAGCATACATGGTCATTCCAGGTTTCTGCGTAAACAGATAGAACTCCAGAAATTTTACATCAGTGTAAACTATTTCTCTTGTTAAAATAATGGCAACATGGCAAATATAATGCAGGAGTACAACTTGGCCACCTTTGCTTAGCAGATTTTTTCTCTTTTATTCTTCAGTACTTTTTCTCCCAACATGTTTTTTTGTTTTCAGTGCTGCTACCTGACTCTTCCCTTTCAGACAGCCTCTTCCTGACAGTTATCAGGGTTTAACATACTGTACTAGGAGGCTCGTGAATATTGCTCTTTGATTTTTAGTGCTTTATGATGAATGGCTTGGAATCATTGCTATATATATATATATATATAAAGGAAAAAAGGAAAGAAAAATAGTTTCTGAAAACCTTTGTGCTATTGAAATCTGTCTGCAAACTTTCCAGCACTGAATTGCTTTGCAACAGGACTGTCTCTCTGCATGCTAGCTTACAAACCTCCCATGAAAAAAGAGCAAGGCATAATGTTGGAAAAATCAGAATATGAACCTTATGTTTGATTAGGATGTGTCTTTTCTTACATTTTTCCTTCTTGATTTTGTTGGTCTTTTGTTGTTTAAGAATATATTTAAATTTGAGGTACACTGGGTCTTAGATCCTTCATTGCTTCACAACAGATACCAACCTTATTTTTTTCATTACCTAAATAAAAACATGTAATCAAGAATTGAAATGTTGGACCCTGGAATTACAATGAGCACTCAGCTCAGAAGAAAAATATGATACCTTTCACTGCATTTGGCAACCTGGAAAAAAGATAGACCGTCAAAGATACTTGGAGGAAAGAGAAGAGGAACAGCTCTAGAATTGGAAGTGGAAAGCCTCTGCAACAGAGCATTTTTAGGAGAAATGTGAAGAAAGTACCCCTACCTCTGTTTCCCTAGGGATGTCTTTGACACAGAAGCTTTCCCTCAGTGAAAGTCAAGGAATTTATAAACTTGTTCAGGGTTTCCAGAGCATGGAGGTGAAATACTTCCCAAGAGGACTAGATTCAATCCATCACACCATGGCAGAGCACATTCATTAAACTCCTCACCTTCTAGAAGCCTTGGCAATTTATTTGTCTGTGCAAAATTCCAGGCAAGAGTATGGCAGTGCTGTTACTGTGTGCCACCATCACATTCATGCAGCTGGAAATCCAGACTGAAATCATTGCTGATGAGCCTCAGCAACACCCTGCAGAATGGAAAGGATCCTGGTGGATGAGACCAGCTCTTGATGCCATTTCTGAAGGTGACAGAATTACAGTGCAGCCCCCAGGCAAGTGTCTCTGGCTGACAGCTTATGAAGCATGGAGAGCGCTGTGGGCACCCTGTTCATTCCCAAAAGGGGCAGTTCCATGGTCCTCAGAGAAAGCTATGTGTGTGTTCAGAGGAGCAGAGCACTGTTTGGTCTGTGGGGGATGAGCAAATGAGGATAGTGGGCTTTGTTTTGTTCTTCTCCTGACTCCAGCATGTTCCTGTACCTTTCTTACTAACCGGTGTCAACATGGAAGAAGTGCCCAAGCTCATATATGCATAGGAACAGGGAAAGTTATCAGACTTCAGTCCACACTGCCTCAATGCCACTGCCCCTCAGCAACAAACAGATACTTTCAGTTTGGTTTCCAGCATGTTCAGCAGTTTGGTGAAACAAATTGTAAAAAGTCATTCTTTGCAATTCACCTGCACCTTCTAAAGTCATGCAAGTAGACAACTTCCATTCCCCTGTCTGCTGGCTCACAAATGGAGAATAAATGAACGAACCATTGCAAACAGACATACAGCATTCTGCATTGGATGGCTGCACAGCGGGCACCCACAGCGCACATCAGTGTAACACTGGTCATGCTTGTGGAGTGTTGTGCATGTAATGTGTTTTCTCCACAGCTAACTGGTAAAGATTGGTTAGCACAAGTTACCTGCAAGATACATCAGTACTCTGCTCCTTACTGACTGGCGTGTTAAAAGGTTCCGCACAGAGATGTGTTGTTTCATTAAGAAGCCACTTTGCCCTGTGAACCAGAGTGCTAAGGTCTCTGATGAATACACGGCTCTTGGCTGTAAGGTCATGATTTCTTTTTTTCTGTGTCCAACTTTTTTTCTCTGTTGTACCAGATCAGTCTGATAGATTTAATAGGATCCATGGGATTTTCATTTTTCCTCAGAGACTACTACATTTATAGGCAAGAAATACTGTTCCACTTTCCCATGCCACTAAGAGTTCTGTAAAAGAGCCCTGCCTCTTAGGGGTCTACACTAAATTTTTTAATACTATGGAGAATCCTTGATTTGTAAAGCCATGCTTAGAGAAAAGAAAAGGCTTTCTTTGCAACAATCCACACCCTTCAACCTCATAAAGTTTTCTTCACAAAGTTTTAGTCCAGAATATTTTGTTTTAGAGGCAAAACTCTCAAAAAGCTTAACATTAATTTAAACCTTTTTTCCTTTGTTCTTTAGTGTACATTTTGGGGCGGGACTGTTAAGCAAGGAAAATAAAAAAAAGATCCTTTGCAGAAAAAGTCACTTTCTGGCTGGAATTTCAGTTCATACCTATTAAATGGTCACTTTTTTTTTTTTTTTTTTTTTTTTTTTTTTTTTATGTGTATGCTTGTTTTAAAACTAGAAACAACAGTCAGTCCCATATTCATCATTTGTGTGTCATGTTTCAGCCTGGAGCATATCTTTACGGTTAAGTTATAAACTCTTAAATTAAGTATTTATAACGAAAAATACATGACAACTCCCTAGCAATAACTTTGCAAATACCACCACTATAATGACAAAAATGGTTAAATGCTGTTATTCTGTTCAAGACATGCCAACAGATTTTGTGTTAACTGCCTGCAATTAGAAGTCTGTTGTTTTTTTTTAATAACATAGTAATATGAATTCTGCCAATACTTTTGCAGCTTCCAAAATATTATTAAAATGAATAAGTTCAGGTGGAGAAAGAGCAACAAAAACATGAAAAAGCACAGTTTCAGAATTATAAAGCTCCACGTCAATAGAAAGTTCAATTTAAATATAAACTCTATTGTTCTAAATACAGGTTCCTCAGAGCAGGAGAGACAACCAGTTATATACTAACCTGATTTAACATGGCTGTGTGGAAGTACTGAGCATTCAGGATATTATACTCTGTAACCCTGTGGAGCACCCTCATGACCACCTGGGGAAACAAGATTAAACTAAAAGAAATATTTTTTTAGGGAAAAAAAAAAAAAAAGCATTACAGAGGGAAAGCAAGACTTGTACTGGGAATATGTTGTATTTCTTTTCCAGTCTCTTTATTCTTCATTACAAATAAGTCACCTAATTGCTAAATACAAAAAAAAAGACACTAATTAGAGTAGTTGCTTTGACATCTGTGAATACTCTAAGTTAAAACTTAATTAGAAGTTAAAACTATGTTGTTTTATTGATATGTACTTAGCATTTTTAGTCCTTTAAACATTAAATGGAGGTTTACTTAGGAAGGAGCATTACAAATTAAACATTTAAACACACGGCTGATTTTCTTCTCTAATTAGTGATATTCATCCTTTCTACTGACACAGTCCTTAGCAAGGAAAGAGCAAAATGAGAAACCTGACAAACACAAGCAAATATTTCCACATTCTTTCTAGAGTAAAGAATTGCCTCAGAATTGCTACTCTTCTTATTTCAGGTTTATTTTTTTCATTCATCAGCAAGGGAATTCATATGCTCCAGCCTCCCCTAACAATGATACTCTGCTAATAAACTCTTACTGCCTTCTTCTGTCTGTCAAAACCACTGCATAAATCGCTGCCTAGGAATCATCGCCACTCAGACACATGTACTGCTGACCCTCCCCCCCAGAAACAATGAGTAGAACCCCTTGCCAATCAGCAATTATAAGATAACGGTACTAAAAAGCCTGAACCTGGGCTTCAGTTGCTCTGCCAACCCTTCCAGGAATCTTTCATGTGCCTGGGAATTAAGTAATTAACAGATTAATTTATTGTTCTATATAAAGGATTTCCATCTCTCTAGTCAGATTTGACATCATCAAAATTCACCACCTCATCAGAAGTTGCCAACTGTTGGTCTTCATTCCCAAAAGACAAAGAAATCCACAAAAACATTGCTTCATAGCACAAGGTTGCTTTCAAAACTGTCACAATCTGAGCATTGTCCTCCAATTCAAAAACACATTTTACTTTCCAGAGTACCCCTAAATAAAGGGGGACATATAGTCACAAGAGCTAGAAATGCCAAAGTTGTAATTAAAGCAGGATGTGGATACACTTATGGCCCTCATCCTGCAAAGTAAAGGATTAATCAGTTTTTAACCTGATGACTAATTTCATTGACTCCCCATTGGGCAAACACAGCATAACCTAGAACATTTTGCCAACAGAAGCTAGATCATTGCTTTAAAGAAACAATTTTAAGCATTAATGGCAATGAACATTACTACTTCAATTTGCAGTCCAATCTGCAAGAGATTAGTGTTCAAACACAGATTTAAGACCTGTGTATTCTAGTTGATACACAGTATTAAGGACTTATTTGCATTACAAACACACGTTGTGTTTAAACACAAGCAGGAGAGGTTACAATAGTGGAAGCAACAACTGCAATTTTACTGTCATTGTGGTCAAGAGAAAATTGTGTTCAACTACATGGATTAAGTCCTGTTGGAGAACATTTTAATTCTGTGCTTTAAGTATTTTCTTCCAGTGTAAGGAAATTTGTCTTTTTTGTTGTTGTTTGCAATGCAGAAAGTTATATAAAAAAATAAAGAAAAATATCAAACTAAATTTAAGGAATAAAAGCTTGCTATGGAGATGTGAATCTCCTTCACTAAAGATTTTTAAGAACAAATAGGATAAACATCTGCTGGGCACAAGCCAAGCATTCACATCTCCACCTCAGGGTTACTGACCAACTGTGACCAGCTCAAGACCTTCCCAACTCAGTTACTTTCAAAGTTTCAATATTTATGATGCTGTTCCCGTGTTCTCACGTTCCAGCCACATCATTCTAATTGGTCACATTGGCAAAAACAATCCTTGACTACAGATCCCATAAATACATTTTTATGGAGCAAGCGAATGAGTGAAAAAAAATATTGTTGGGAATGAGAAGGTTGATCAGCCTGCAGGGATGGCAAGGAAGGTGTACTTACTGAGAAAAAAAGCATTTGTAGGATCTCCTCAAGAGTCTCTGAAGACTAAACAAGCCTTTCCTGACTTTGACAGAGGAGAATTTCTTTACATTTCTTGGTGGAGAAGGCAAAAAGGAGCTGTATGATAAGGCTGAAAGGAAAAAAAAATATTAAAGGAAAATTGAAAATGCAGAACATATCACTAATAAAAATGTGATTGAAAAGTTGTATTGAAGAATGACACAAAGAAAAATTGTGATAACAATTCATAATACATCATGCAAATATTTTTAAGGAACTTTTTTTTAGTCAAATCCTGACATACATTATTTCAATGATTCCAGATGCCCTTTCCAGGATTTCTGTGAAAAAAGGGAAGCCATTTTCAAATCTTGAAACAAATTGGCTCCCATATGTAAATTTAAATTATCCATCACCCTGCAGGAGGATTCAAGTAAATTCGAAGGCCATCTTGATGAATAATCAAGGTTATTTTGTCACTTTTTTTTTTTTTTTGAACCATGCTGCATACTTTCAGAGTTTTATAAAAAGATCCACATAATTAGTTTAGTTTACCAGGAAAAAAAAAGTTGAATGACAAGGTCAGGCTCTTGCCCTTTCAGTAAATTAGAGAAGATTGCCATAAATTGCATAATATAATGAAACACCAATTTGCATATTTGCTGCTATATTAAAAGGGATCAGTTTTAGCTCGCAAGGCAGAACAAATAAAAACATGCATTTTAATAACTCAAATTACTCCCAGGAAGTGACCCTCAGCAGAAAGCCTGATTATCACTACTTAATTAGAAGCCTCGGAAACCTAAATCCTCCTTTAAATCCTATTCTGTGTACAGTGAAAGATGAAGCCGTGAGTTTTGTCTTAGATTCAATATTTACTCTTTACTAATATGTTTGCAGGGGAGACTTTCCAAGCATTATGAAGACATGCAAAAAAAAATTAATATTCAAAGAAAGAGTGCATAAAACCTGTGTTGGCTTGCAGGTGCAAAGCAATTAACAAGCTGGCATTTGCAGTACTTTTAATTAATTAATTAAAAATTCAAGGCTGACTTTCATTTCTTTAAATGTTTGAACATTTTATCCATCAATAATGAACCACTACTTACTGCTGTGCTACAACAGCTGGTAAATGAAAAACTTAGTCCAACACTGTAAAAAAAAAAAAAAAGTGCAAAGGAATTTCACATTTTACTTTTTTCTTCCAATTTAAAAATGCAATAGAGTTTGAAACTCTGTATGATATGGAGGTGAATCTTGTGTGTTTACTTCACAATAAAAATAAACTGCATTCAGTTGAACCTAGAGCAGGAATTAAAATCAGAACATCAGAACTTTCAGTATAAAATATACTTGGGTTTAATTTTTAATTTAATTTAAAAATTAAATTCTGTTTGCTTGGAAAGTCAATGGATTTTTCTTAAGAATAATATGCTCTGTCCTGATCTTTAAAGGTTAAAATTATACTATAAAATGAGATTTCGAGTCATTTCTAACTGGCTGCAAATAATAAATAATCAGCGAAAGGTGCTGTGACTAAAATTACAAGTTGATGTCACTTGAATGATAAATGTGTTGTTCTCAGCAGAAAGATTTTGGTCAGTATGTATTTAAAAGACACTACCATTAATACACTTTAATTAAAACATAAATACTATATTCCTATCTCACTAGGCGTTCACTCAGCTGGAACTAACTGTATTTGCTTAATCTACAATTTTAGATGTATTAGCAAAAATAAATGTTGGTGAATGTAAGAGCCTGCTTACATATCTTGGGTAAATTGGTGATAATGAGTCAAGAGACTTTGTGTTCATTCACATATATTAGAATAAGAATCATTATGAAATTAAAGCTAAGATTAATCCTGCTAATGACACCACAGAGCATCTGGGAATAAGATAACCCAGATGTCAAATTCGCTGTGATACTGTGCTGCTATTTGATAGAGTAACCCCTTGAAGTGTTCTTCTAAGGCAGCTAGCTGGTACCCCACAGTCCCAGCACTTGAAATGCAAATGAGTGACAAGATAGACTAATAACGAGAGCAGATTCTAGCAGTAAGGAAAATGAATAAATTAAAAAAAAAAAAAAAAACACCGAACCACTGATAAGAACAAGCAGCAGGCAACCCAATGTCCTCAATTAGGGTGGATGACATCTGCAGTGTATTTCTCTCTAATAAAGCCCTCACTCTGTATTCTAAAGCACACGATTCTAACACTGTTAACATTTTAATGTCTTGGGCGTGCATGGTAACATTAATTACAAGATGATTTGGATGACTTCTGAATCTCTTTTATGTCTTTCACTGAGTAAAAATCTGAGTTGCAGCTTTGATATCATAAATAAAATGTAGAGACCTGCCAAGCATTAAAGCTCTCCTCAAGTAACTCAGATCTGCTAAGTTACATTAAACCTTTATAGCTAAGTAAAGAGCATTCTCTATGAATTTAAAGAGGGTCAGTGTCTATACATTTTAATGGCAAAGCTTTACAGATCTCCAGTATTTTTCATTAGACTGCAGCTGTTGTTTTTTTACTTACTAATAAGTTTAATCTAATGTTTTGTTGAGCCCAATTTACCTTCTCTCTACTGTTTATTCAGAAACTTACACCACGATTTAGTCACTTGCTTCCTTCTTTTCCCAGCTGTGGGTCTTCTCTTCCTGCTGACTGCTCTGTTCCTCGTCTGAAAAAAGAGCAATCATTAGCACTCCTAAAACAAGACTGAGACTTGTCCACAGCTGAAAAAGACTCTACCGTGTAATTGTAGCACAAGATTCAACGTGGATTTGAATGAACCAAGAGCAATCCAGTGTCCCCATGGGCTTTTCTGCTTCTTGCTATAATGCAGTGGCACCTGATCTTCATGACAGTTGTTAACCACACTAACCACTCACTGCACTGCCATCATCCCTGCATCAACTGAGGGATGAACTCTGAATTTAGACAAACTCAGTATGGTAGAAGGGAAAAAAAATGTACAAAGGGCAACTTTTATATTTGGAAGACATACAA